AAGGCCAACTGTCTTCCTTATTAGGAAGTAATGAAAGCTGAAAAGAAGGCCTCTTTTCTACATTGCCCACAGTGTAAGTACCATACAAGCATCTAACAGGACCATCTTAGTTGTCACATAGATGAAACCACTCTGAGAATGCAGGCAACTGTATTCACTTGCTGTTGTTGTAACAAATTATCACAAATGTAGTGCCAAAGCAATGGAGACCTTTTTGTTTTTTTTTTTAATCTTACAGTTCTGTAGGTCCAAAGTACTACAGGGTCTTATTGAGCTAAAATTCAGGAGGAAGTGTTTCTTAAATGAGCAAACACACACTTGAATATGAAAGCAGCACTACATATGCTCCTCAGAGTCTGTAACACATTCACTTAGTCACATCCTACAACTCCAATTCTTCAGGCCTCTGTGGAAGGTGAGATTCTTCACCACTGCTGCCTCTGCCTTCATACCCACTGCTAAGGAGCCAGGGGCTTCCTTCCCTGGGTTCTGGCTAATTTTTTTTAGACGAAGAGTGGCTTTCCAAAAGATCTGTACTCTCATTTCAACATTCTACCACCTGGGGCTCCTTTTGGTCCCTTTGAATGGCCCAACTATATTTCCACATTCACAAGCAGAACTCTATCCGAAATGCTCTCCCCACCCTCCACCAGCTCTCTAGATGAATGGCTCCTTCTTGGCAGGGCCTTAACCAGCCATGCTCTTGAAAGAAGATTCTCAACCAGGCATGGTGGCACACACATGTAATTTCAGCACTCTAGGAGGCTGAGGCAGGAGGATCACAAGTTAGAGCCCAGTCACAAGATAGCAACTTAGCAAGACCTTCTCTCAAAAGGAATAAAAAGTGGGGGAGGGGATACCTCTCGGTTCAATTTCCAGTACTGCCATAAATAAATACTAACAAAATTTTTTTAAACTCTAACACTTCTTTACTATCTCACAGACAATGCCCTTCACATTTAATTTTTTTCACTTAATAGTAACAATAGGGGCTAACACATTGGGAACTTACTCTGTGCCAAGTTTGTGCTATAGACTTGTTATGATTTGGGGATGGTTTCAGTCTTCCTCAAGGATTCACATGTTAGAATTTAATTGCCATTGTGAGACATTAAAAGAATGGAAACAATCTGACTACAGTGCTCAGAGGGGGAGTCTTTGGCATATTATTAGGATTAATCATATATGTATATATCGGTATATATACCTATATATATGCTCATATATATATATATATAGATAGATACCTATATATAGATAGATAGATAGCTACCTATATATATAGATAGATAGATACCTATATGGTATATAAGCTTATATAGATACCCATGTAGGTATCTATCTTATCTATCTATCTATCTATCTATATATATATGGGCATATATAGATGCAATATATATGCATACACACACACACACACACACATACCCATGTTGCCTGTCTCTTGCTATGTAATGCCCATCACCACCTCAGGGCTCTGACAGCAAGACCACCACCACAGAACTATGAGTTAATATAAACCTCCTTTTTATATAAGTCACTCCGTCTGCGGTATTATGTTACTGGCAACAGAAAACGGACTGATGCAGCGCTTTATGTGGATTATCTTACTTAACTACCACAACCCCCCAAAAGGTAAATTCTGTTATTAGCATCACTTCATAGATAATGAAAAGTTAGGAGTGAAAGGTTGCTTACCTCATTTATGGCCACAGTGCCATGAGAAAGCAAGCCCACATTTGTAAATACTACTGTATTGTACCTTTCTATTAATGTCTTCCCCATCCTGCTGACATCCAACCCAGACTATGAAACTCAAGAGAATATCATTCAACCAAGTACCTCACCTGGGTGTGGTGGTGCACACCTGTAATTATGGCTGAGGCTGGATGATCACTAAGAGTTCAAGCCAGCCTGAGTTACTTAGCAAATTCAAAACCAGCCTGGACTACACAGCAAGACCCTGTCTCAAAAACAAAAAAAACAAACAAATGAAAAAAAAAATGTCAGTCCCTATTGGCATAAAATTGGTGAATTAAAGTAATACTCTATGATTTTTCTTCATACATCTCAATCCACCTAAGGATTTCCCCCAAATTCTTAGTACAGGACCCAGCTCCTAGAAATTCAATATACCCAGAAAAATCTCAGCACTGTAGAAAGCCTGTGTGATCACCCAGCTATGTCCCCTCGGTTCATCAAAGGGGAATGGCCTTTCCAGGGTTTTAAAGAGACAACTGAGGGCTGGGGTTTTAGCTCAGTGGTTCCACTGCCTGCCTTACAAGCACAAGGACCCGAGTTTGATCCCCGGTACAAAAAAAAAAAAGCTTTTAAAAAAATAAAGAGAGAGACAACTGAGCAAAATGTACACTGAGGGCTTCATGGGCTTCAGAGACAGACTGCTCAGAGAGAGAATTCTAGCAAAAGACAGCAGTCAGTGGACAGGTGCCCGGCTAAAGTGGAACCCAGGAAGGAAGACTAGGATGCTATACTTGCCTCTTCAAAAAAAAAAGAAAGAAAGAAAGAAACACACACTCAGGGCTGGGGATTTAGCTCAGTGGCACAACCCTGCCTCACAAGCAAAGGTCCTGAGTTCGATCCCCGGTACCACAAAACAAACAAAAAATAACACTCTCTGCCCGATGCCCTATTCCTTCTACAAACTGTCCAACACCTGAAACATGTTACTAGAAAATCTATCACCCCAGCACACACCTAAAGATCTCTCTAGGAACCACAGGGCTTCTTGGTCTCCCCTTCCCACCTTTCTTCTCATGTATCCTGGAGATGAAGAGGCAAAAAATACCCAGTAACAGTGGTCTGGAGGCCAGCCCTCTGATAACACCTTCAGAAGCAAGGAAGGCTTTTCTCTGGAGGACAAATGTGGTTGCTGATCTGCTTCTGTTTATTCTCAGCTCTTGAAAGTCCTGAGCATCTCCAGTGACAAGATCTCAAGAATCCCAAATTCTAGGGCTGGGGATTTAGCTCAGTGGTGTCACTGCCTACCTCACAAGCGCCAGGTCCTGATTTCAATTCCCTGGTCCTACCAAAAAAAAAATCCTAAATTCTTTGTCACTTGCAAAGTAGTACTAACAAATGCCAGCGTAGTCTAGACTAGAACAACATTCTACTCTAACATGACCACAGGGAGTTTCTAAGATGCAGTGGTACAGTGACTGCTTCATGGGTACAAGGAAGCAGAGCAAACAGCAGGTGAAATAAAATGGAAAACATGGGCAAATGCTCAGAGTGCTTATTTTGTCCTTGCAGACTGTCTTCTTGGTGCTGTTTTACCTACAGTAGCTTGCTGATATCTCACAATCTTTATGAAGCAGGCACTATTATATATAAGATGCAGAACTCAAGGCCTGGAAGTGTTAAATAACTTGTCTAGGGGGCCAGGGATGTAGCTCAGTGGTGCCACGTTGCCTGGCAAGCACAAGGTGCTGAGTTCGATCCCCAGTTCCCAAAAGAGAAAAAAATAACTGGTCTAAAGTAATTCAGTAATTGGCATGGTTAGGATTCAAACTCAGGTTTGCCTGATTCAAAGTTCCATGACACCATGTCCACCACCTGCTGGGGGGTGATATGTGAGAAGGACAGGACTACATGTGAAAGAGCAAGGGATTACTGAATGCCTAGCCAACGGTCTGTACACTGTTCCACAAAGGGGTCCATGTGCTGAGAAATGTTGCAGGAAGAATGGCTTAACTTGTTTATGAAAGATGAAGGCAGATGGGAACCACGTGCCCCTAGAATTTCTACAGGAAGTGAGCAGCCGCAGGAGTAAGGAAACCCAGAAGAGAAGCCAAATGAATGCCAGTTGACCATCAATGTTGTTCACCTTTAGATTTAACAAATAAAGACATTATTTGTCTTAGTCCACAAAACTCACATTAAGTACCAGGCATCTTGAAGAATTCTTTTCTTCTTCAACTCTATTCAAGAAAGGTGAACAACTTTTCTTGCAGATTTATATTTAAATCATGAAATCTACAATTATTTTACTTTACTGGGAATTTAATCCAGGACCTTGTGTACTAGACAACTGCTCTACCACGGAGCTACATCCCTAGCCCTTCTAATTTTGAGACAGTCTCCCTAAATTGTCCAGGCTAGTCTCCAACTTGCCACTCTCCTGCCTCAGCTTCCCGAATGGCTGAGATTACAGGCCAGCGCCGCCAAGACTTAACCTCTGAAGTTTTTTATTTAAAAATTTTCTCCAGTGGGTAAACCATCTGGCTATCTTCCACCTCCAGTAATAAGTACCTTTCTCAGAGATACAACTTGGAGATCAGGGATGGGAACCTCACCCTAGGGTAACAGGGACAGCGCTCAGTGAATCTGTTGCAGCTGTGCCTGAGGGTGTCAATCTCACTTTGGAGCTACTCTTGTGTAAGAATTCTACTTCCAACAGCAGTGCCCCCTTCCCATCGCCGGGTGAGGAGTTTAATTTTACCCAAATACTTGTGTATGAAGAGGCACCCCTTTGCTCTTCCAAACTCCTTAGGAAACCCAGCCAGCCAGCGGTACAGTTTGGGAGGAATCCTTCGCAAACAAGGCTAAACAATTTGCCAGGAATGATCAGCCCGCATGTCAAAGAGAAGACAATTATTGGGGGGGGGGCGCTTAGCTTTCCTAAACGTTGCCATGGCACAGCTCAGGCTACGTCAGGGTAAAGAGGCTTGTAAGGGTACCTTCATAGCTGCCACAACCACTCCCAAGAGACACTCTCCTTCCTACGTGACGAGCACAACAGGGGTAAGAGGCGGTCCAAGTAGAGAAGAACCACTACAGTTTTAGCCTTGCTTAACTCTGGACAGGCGCCGAGCCGCAGCTCTAGGGTGAATCCCCTTCCCGTACACACGTACGCAGCTCGGCTTTCCCAGTGAGGCCTCTCAGGCCCCTCAAGACCACCCTGACACTGCTTCCGGATTCCAGGCCCGGGGTGGGTTCCACATTGATTATTCAAGGCCCCTCAGTCCCGGCCCACGGCTCACCCTCAAGAGTCTCGCACTGCACCAGGTTGAGGTAGTCGGCCTGGCTGAGCACCCCGGCCTTCAGGCCGCGCACCAGTCCCTCCAAGTAGCCATTGTCTACGTTGAAGTATAGCTCCGGGAAGAACGACATGGCTGCAGCAGGGGAGACGAGACTGGAGAGCCCCAGACCAGCCGGCACGTAACGCAACTCCAACAATCAGCTGACTCGGCGTCCGCAAAGGGCTGTCAAGTGCGTCAGGTGACGCACAAGTTCCTCACGTGACCACAACTGAGCCGCGTCCGGCTTCCGGGTGGTTTCAAACGCAAGCATTGCGCAGGTGTGAGCTACTGATCGCCCTTTGGCGCCTGCGCGCTGAGGGGAGGTAGCCCTCTGGCTCGTTTGAGCTACTTAGCTGGCCGAGGCCGACCGCGTGAGGTCGCTGTTGGCTGTAGAATTAGATGGGCACCCTTTCTTGCTTTCCCTAGTTAGGTGTACCTGGCATTCAGGGTCTGTGGGGTAAATGTGGAATTGGGAGGGATTCCTGTTCTTGCAAAGATTCCACACTGCTGAACCAGACTCTTCCTAAAGGGGAACTGAGATACGGTTAGGAGAGGACTTTGCTGGAGGTCACAATTAGCTGCCAACAGGCGCTGGAGCCTAATGCTCATTTGCTAACAGCCCGTGGGTCTCAGGGCATCCAGCTTTCACTGCATTGATGTACAGGATTCTTCAGGGCTGGAGTGCGACTTTCTTCTGCTTCCCTCAAAGGTGTCTGGTGCCTTAAATGCTCGCGTGTATCTGGCTCAGATAACGGGTAGCCCAGACCTTGGGGTAAGGGTGTGTGTGATTCCTTGGCAAGGTGACATCCCCAACCTCTTCCCTGAACCCGGCCCCCCTACAATGCCCACGTTCGAAAGAACCACAGCCTTTGTATTGCTCCCATCCTTTATTCGCATCCCCTTGTCTGTTCAGATGTTGGCCGGTTAGGTGCGGCTGCAGGGGTTCATAGCAGTACCCAGCTTGCGGCAGTAGCAGAAAGCGTTGAAGAAGCGGCAGTAGCATGTGGCGCACGGGTCGCAGCATGGTATTTGCTGCCCCAGGCAGGACTCATGCAGCCTTACACAGCGGCGTGGGGTGCGGGGCTCACGGTTCTGCGGGTCTAGCACCTGCATTGACATGGGAGCAGGAACATGGGCATGGGCCTCCCAAAGGCAAGTTCTGGGACTTCATATGCTCCAGTCCGTGCAGGACGGCAGTAGAACGTGGTCTGAAGTGCCCCTCCCACCTGGCTAGGGTGTCTGGAGGTAAGGAGAGGGGATGGTATTAAATGCCCCATGCCTGGCACCTCACCCCTTCCCCTGAGCAGTTACCTCTGCCAAAGCTTCTGCCTTCTGCAGCAGAGACTCTTCTGCTTTGTCTGCAGTTGTCTTCTTCAGTGGAGCATGCAGACCTAGGCCTGGAGCAGAGAATGTGAGGGCAGGACCCTCCATGTGCAAAGTACCCTTCTCCCGGGAGAAGATTGTGAGGGGAGATGGAGAGTTTACACAGAGCAGGCAAGTTTGTAGACAGTGAGTGTCTAGGCCCCACCCAGCCCTACCCCTGCCCATACTGACCTGGGAATTCTGGGAACAGGACCTGGTCAGGCCTTCTGATGCCCTCCGAGGGGGTCAAGCCCATCTGGGCCCCCTGTGTTTCAGGCAATGCTAGCAGCAGGGCACAACTCAGCAGCACTGTGGTCAGCATGGCCTGGCTCAGCAGGAAAATCCACCACTTAGGCCCTCCTCATCTTTGGACTACCCTCTAGGTGCCCAAAGAGCATGCCCCCCACCCAGAGTAGGAGTCCCCTGCCAAACCTGATGACTTACCTCTGCTTGCTGGTCCTTGCCTAGCAAGTACCTGGCCACCTGTGCCCCCCACTTATATGGTAGGGGCTAATGAAAGACCTACACGTGACTGCTCCCTGCAGCTACACATGAGGAGCCCTCCCTGGAGGGTGGGGGCACAGTTCAGGACTCCCACCCTAGAGCCTGAACCTTTGCTGCTCTGCTAGAGGGGTGCTCATCTCCAATCTAGAGTGAGGATTCAAGCAGCCAATTAAAGTTTGCGTTCTAGGAGCCCCAAATTTCCACAAACCCAGAGTATGGACCAGGCTGGAGCCATTAGCAATAACAAGGCAAGCGGCCCTGAGAGCTTAATTTAATTTCTGGCCCCGGAGATGCTCACTCAGGCCCTATGTGGGATGTTGTTTTCTTTGCTTCCAGGAACTTGGGTCAAGGACAATTAAGGGGGTGATGGGCAAGTCACTATTGTGGAATTTCTTTGGAGAAAGAAGAGTAGGGAGACACCCACCTAGCCAAATGTGGGACCACTTGACTGCATTTCTGGTCCTGCCTACCCTCCCTCTTCTCTCTTCTGGATCCTCCAAAACCCCCACACCTACTCCTGTCCCCCAGTTCCTTCTGCACCTCGGGTTCCTGGAAATCAAGGAAGTAGAATGGACTGTTCCATGGGTAGACAAGCAGCTTCAGAATAAAAAGCTTTCAGGCTGCTTGCCTCATTAGTGCTAATGGCTGTTCCCTTCCGCCCTGTATTACCAGTCCTCTGCCCATGCTGGCTGGTCTCATCAGCACGAGTCTGCAATAAGAACTACACATTTGTGGATGTGGAAGAACATACAGGTCCCCATTTGTCCCTGCCTCTCCTTGCCCCCTGGAGGGCTTTTTATTATAAATGTGTCCACGTGAAAAGGGATGCAGGCTGAATCAGCTTAGAGGCCCCACTATACAAACTGAGTTGGTCCAAAACAGTGGAAGCTGATGAAGGATCTATTGGGGTTTGCAGCCCAGGTCCACACAGGCTCTTGGGACCAAGAAGACGCCTGAGGAAATCCTCCCAGCAGGTTGCCATCAGGCAGCCTTTTCTTTGAGTCAACAACTGTGTTTGTATGCAGGCCTCACGGTGAGGAGGTACGCTGCAGAGGGTGGGTCTAGGGCAAGTTTCTTCCATAGACAAGCACAGGTGTCCATTCTTGGATTAAGCTGGCACTGGGCTCTCTCAAGTTTGGCTCATAGTAACTATCCTTGGTGCTCAGACATTCACTGAGTGTGTGTGTAGGGAGTGACACTGAAGAATCGGGAAAGGCTCCTTTAAAGACAATCCAGCAAAGGGCCAGTCCCCTTATCTCCCTGAGAATGGTGGTGACAGCTTAGTGACCCTTTCCCAAAGCAGAACTGGTGTTGAGGCCTCTCTGATGGCATTGACATTTCCCAGAGGCTTGCTTTTCTCTAGAGTGGCACAGGATGGAGGTATCAGGCCCCAGTTGTGCTTCCATCCTGGTTGAGTCACATGGAGCTCAGGAAAGGGAATACACTATTGTATATGAGGCACTTTCCCCAAATCCTTATGTCCTATCCTCATCCTTAGAGATTTTAGCTAAAGAGGTGGGGAGCAAGGACTGCATGTGGACTGGAAAGGTGCCCTAGGGAGTTAAGGTGGGGACTCTGGGCACCAGCTGGGCCCACTCCGTATCCATCCTGAAGACAGCTCTTCAGGTCTGGTGTGGGGCCTCCTCCCACCCCAGTGCTCAGCTGTCTTCACCTGTGCATGTGTATGCAGATGTATGTGCCCCATAGTTAGTGGCAGACAAGGGCCAAAGCCCTCACAGGGGAGCTACATAACCCTGCTCAGGTTCAGTGGAGGAAACAAGCAAGAAAATCAACCACCAGAACATGATGGCAGCCAGGCACAGTGGTGTACACTTATAATCCCAGCTATTTGGGAAGTTGAGGCCAGAGGATTACAAGTTCAAGGCCAACTTGGGCAACTTAGCAAGACCCTGTCTCACAATTAAATATAAATAAATAAAAAGGCCTGCAAATGTAGTTCAGTGCTCTCTGTTCAATCCCTAGTAACACACACACACACACACACACACACACACCCCTCCGCTGAGGGTGGGGAGAGAATTGGCGAGGGAAAGCTGCCCGGAGAAGGAAGACCTTAGTCATGAAATTTGAATAGAAGTTGAGGAATGACAGGCAAGGAGCAGAATAAATTCCTTGGACTCAGAACTGGCATATGGTGCTGTCTGGTTCTACTGCTTAACCCGTGCTCTTCCCAAAACTTATACTCAAGGGCCCCATCCTAGTCAATGAGTCAAATGAGTTAGTAGACCAATTTCTGTCATCTGGGGATGGAGAGAAGATAGCCGCCACCCAAGGTGTTCCTCAGAGTTAGTTGCACCAGTCAGTCGGCCAGCAGACATCTGTAGCTACTGTCAACTGCTATTGTACGCTGACTCCAACTATAGCCATATGTGCCCCAAATCATTCATGTCACCCATAAAACCAAGTAGAGTCCAGAGAAGGAAATAAACATTTGTTTATATCCTTTCTCACTCCAACCCCTTTCTGCCCTTCAGTGCAGTGTCACCCAACTCCCCCCACCCACTAAATTGTCCCAAATGGATTTCTTGTCACAGCTCTATGTATATGTATACCTGTCATTACATCTATGCTAACTTGGCAAACGATGAATCCTTGGTTTGATTTACCAATTTTGTTACAATTAGAAGTTTCTGCCTTTGTATCATTTTCTGCGTTCCTTGATGTTATGGCTTGAATATGATTAGTTGCATCTTCTTAAAGGTTCATGTGATTAAAATTTTAGTCCCCAGGGTGGCAGTATTGGGAAGTGGAGGACCCTTTAAGAGGCGGGGCCTAGTGGAAGGTTCATAGGTCATGGGGAACTGCTTTCTCGCAAGACCCTTTGAGTTCTTGGGGGAGGGTTGTTGGAAAGATAACAAGCCCACCCCTACCCAGACCTCTCTGCTTCCTGTTGGAGATGTGGCTACTTGATCTGACTGGAGTACGTGGCATCCTTAATGGGGACTTTGCCAAGCTTCTGCTATGCCATTTGGACTCTCAGCCTCTCAAACTGAGCTAAATAAACCTCATTTTTTCATAAATAGCCTACCTCAGTAAACCTGATTTATCCACTTGGGTTTTTATTTTTACCTTTCCTAGCAATGAGATGCAATTGCTGATCCAACATTTAACTTTCCTTTTCGGTGAACAGTTGCCTGCTTCCAGTAGTCTATGAAAGAACCCCATTAGAGCCTATTTCCTCAGTAAATGAGCATAAACAATGTGGGTGATTTTACTGGTCAGGAACCAGCCTGATGTTTGTTTCAATTTTTATTTTTTATTAGTACATGTTTGTAGTACATAATGATCACATTCCCCACGGGGAGTTGGAACATGGACATAACACGTCTCAGTTCTTTCTTCATACCCTTCTCCTCCCCCTCCATCTCTTGATCCCCTTCTCTTTCACAAAAGATCTATCTTTCCATTTCCTAGTATCTTGGCAAAATGACCTTCAGAAATATGTGGTGTGTTCTGGTTGGAGGATTTGGGAGAACTCGGGGCACAGAGCCTACCTGGTGAGGCTGGGGACCTGACTCCAGGGAAGAGAAAGGGGAGATGGTCATGAAGATAAAGAGGTATGGATGAACCCCACCCCTCTTCTTTTTCCTTCTATACTATACAACTATATTTCTTATCCCCAAGGGTGCTGTTCTCATGTTGTTCCATGGGAGTGTTGTATACACATTATAAATTTTCATTAAACTCCACTTTTAAAATTTGTACACCTTGAGTTCAATCCCAGGAGAAGGGGCGGGGGAAGAGAAAGGTTTATTTTACTGTGTTGCACCTTAATGAAGAACATTTTTTTTTCTTTTGCTTTATTCGAGTTCATAAAACGATGGAATGACTAACAATAAATGACCCCTTAGAATTTATGATGTAAGGTATATTTAAAAACTCCATCCTGGGCCAGGGGTTTAGCTCAGTGGTTCTGTTGCATGCCTGAAAGTGCAAGGACCCAAGTTCGATCCCTGGTACCCCCCCAAAAAAAAACTCTATCCTCAAAGGGAGGTGCCTCTTGCCTTATCTGTTAGGGAAATTCTGAGGCTATTTCCCACCATTGGATTTAAAGAAAAGACCATTTAGAATGTTCATAGTCCATTATTAGTCCTCCATTCAAGGGAGATAAGTGTTAAGAAAGCAGAACCAGTGAGATGACATTGGTTGCAATGAACCAAAAACTTAGTTTATACTGTCTTATAAAAATAATTTATTGGCCCTGATAAGTGAAAAAATCCAAAATTAGGTCTGATTTCAGATGAGGTTTGATCTAATATTTTGGTTTTTGTTTGTTTTTTGTTTTTGTTTTTGTTTTCATTTTTTGTACTGGGGATTGAACCTAAGGACCTCACACTGAGCTTTATCCCTGGTCTTTTTTTATTTTTTAAGACAGGGTCTCACTGCTGGGTATGGTGGCACATGCCTGTAATCCCAGCACTTGGGAGGATAATAACAAGTTTTTAAAAGAGAAAAAAACATGAAGAACAGAAGCAATAATTTAATGCCACCACTTCATCAAATGTGTCTTCATTGAGAGCATTAATCATAGTGGCTCACCACATAGCTAAAGCCCCTTACTTGGATAACAGTTGATCTTACCTGCTGTAGAGGATGTTTGTCGTGAACTTTCAGGACAGAATGCAGTTCAAATGGTGGCATGTGTTCTACTGTCAGCTAGCACCATAACTGACAAATTGATGAAATGGCAGAGGATATTGAGGCACAGTTGTTAAAGAGAATTAATGAGTCACCATGGAACACAATCCAGTTCATCAAGTCTACCGATATTGACAACAAGGCAACAATGCCTGCTTTGTG